CCCCCCCCCCCCCTTCACCCTCCCCGGGGGAGGGGGACACACACATATTCCTGGGTCATGTTCCCCCGGCCCCGGTGCCTGCCCCTTTTACCCCTGGGCCCCCCCCCCCCCCCCAGGCATGCTGATCCACGAGGGCCTGACCGGCAACCCGATCTTCCCGATCGGCGAGACGCTCTAAGCGGCTGGCCACACGGCCTGCGCCGCCGCTGCGGCAGCCCCGTTCGGCGGCGCGCCGGATGGCGTTGCGGATGGCGCCGGAGGGGCAGAGGAGAGGCCGAGGATGTTCGGCGCCGGGAGCGAAGGCGTGGAGGGGCGGGAGCGCGATTATCAAGGGTATGTGTCACGTGCGAGCGCAGCAGTGTATGATTGTGTCCGCGCGTTTCGCTGTTAGTTGAAACGTCTTCTACATCTACGACATGTCAAAATATGTTCAGGCCCACCGTCGAGGGGGCGCGAGGCGCGAGCCCCCCGGCCCCGCGGAACCGGAAGCAGCGCCAGGAGCGGCCCAGCGCTCCACAGGTCCAGCGCGCCCGCCGCCCGGGCGGCGCCCCACCCCCAGGTGGCCAGGAGCCAGGTCCGGTGCCCAGTCCCCAGCGCGCAGCGGCAGCGCCACAGTGCAGAGGAGCACGCAGCAGCGCGGCCGTCCACGGTCGACGTCGAGAGCTCTCGAGGTGCGAGCGCCGAGCCCGAGGTCCGAGAACGGTGGCGAGCGCGAGGGCCAACCCTTAGCACATGCGCTCGGCACGCTCACGATACCGCACATGCGCGCTCGCGTCTCCCGGGTCATTGCTTCTTGCGCTGGCGCTCGCTCACATGGCGCTGCTTTGCCTGCTCAAGCTCGACCCAGCGCGGCACGTCGGGCACCAAGGCGGCGAGGAAGAGCTTGACGAGGACGAGAACGTGCTCGAGAACAAAGACGGTCCAGACGAGCGATAATGAGACGGCGCGCTGCCGCGCCTGGCACACGAAGCAATGCTCCTCGTCGTACAGCGTCTGCATCTCGGCCGCCACCTTCTTCTCGCATAGCGCCGTGAGCAGCGGGACCGAGACGGTGATGTTTGTGGGCAGGTACTGCCATGCCGGGTACTCAGGCGTGCCGCCAATGTTGAGGTAGCACTCTCGCCAGTTGGAGACGCAGTCCTCATCCCACGAGGGGGCCGCGTCGCTGGAGCAGTCGCTTCTGTCGGCGAGCCACGGTATTACGAGCATGTCGCGCACGCTGTTGGACGTGTACGCCACGATCAGAGCCTGCGGGCGACGGAGAACGGCAGCGCGTGGTCACTCGGCCTCGTGTGCCGCGCGACGCGGCAGAGGGATCGGGTGGCACATTGATGACGAGCGCCAGCCACGAGAGCACGTCCATCACGTGCTGCCAGGAGCCGATGTCCTCCGCGCCGCGGTAGACCGGCCGGCGATGCGAGTAGCCAATCTTGTGCGCGTCGAAGCGTAGCTCGACAAAGTTGGCGATCGCTGCGGCGATGGCGGCGGGTGGGAAGGCGGAGGCAAACATGCAGACAAAGCCGTACTGTATCACCTTGGTGTTGTACTCGGAAAAGGTGCCGTCGAACGCCGGCATGGCCATCTGCTCCTCGATCTCCTGACCGAGCTCGACGAAGCGAAGCGCAACCTGCTCCTCGGAGCTCAGGTCGATGCTCACCGTACTACTCTGCGTCCCCGGCGGCGCCCCCACGAGCCCCGTCATCCAGTCGACGCAGCCCGCCATCTTCCCGCCGCTGTCTGCTGCCTCCGCGCTGGCCATCCCCGTGGCCGCGATGGAGGACCGGCCGACGCGCTGGCGGAGCTGGTAGAGGTTGTAGCGGTGCTGCAGCCACGGGATGAGAGCCTGCAGCGCAACCTCGTAGAGGGGCTTGAAGACGGTGTAGTAGAACAGCTGCGTGCGGAGCAGCCCGACGCAGCCGTCAGGGTCCTGCGGCGAGGGGGCGTCGCTGCGGAGAGTGAGAAGGGGGCGGAGGCTGCGAGGTGGCAGCGGCCAGAGACGTGGCGCGCCTCGACAAAGATCGCCCGCTCGCAGTGCCCCTGAGGGTTGGATGCGTCGAGCGGGTCGCCCGCCGTCGGGGGCGGTACGCCTGCGCTGCCGCCGGGGCCCTTGCAGCCGGCAAAGGCCCACGAGTCGGCCCCAGACTCACCGCCCGAGAGGCCGCACATGTCGTGGTACGCCTGGCCCGCCGCGTTGGTGTAGCCAAAGGCACCGTAGAGCGAGAAGTTGAGGCCCTGGATGAAAGCGATGTAAAAGAGCACGATGTACGAGTTTGCAAACTGGAAGAGGAAGGTCTTGACGATGAGCGCGTCCTCGTGCTCCGTGTCGGTGCGGTGGTTCTCGAGATCGTTGAGCCATGCGGCTAGCTTGGCGTACACCATATTCATGACTGTGATCCACAGTGTGTTCAGCAGCGCGCCCACCGTCGTCGCGGTGGACGGGTTGAAGTACGGATGCTCCTCCAGCTGCCGCGACAGCGACATGAGCATGCGGAAGGTGAGGATGCCGAGTGTGACCACCAGCATCAGCACGGTGCACAGCACCAGCGTCGGGATGCTCATGAGGTACACGCGCAGCCGGGACCCCTCGGGCATCACTAGCGTCTCCGGAGCGTCGTCATGCGGCACAAAGCCGCGCCGGTCGTAAAAGCCGCTCCGCCGCTCCATCCCGCCCTTGTTGCCCCGCACGATCTTCGTGAGGGACGACTGCCGCTTCTTCACCATTGGCTTGCTCTCCGCGTCGAGCCGCATGCTCGCGTTGCTCTCCGAAAGCCCATCGCCATCATCCACCTCGGGTGGATCCGCCTCGTGGTCTGCTGCCCACAGCCCCTTGTGGAAGGCTGCGATGAACTCGGGCCGGGGCCGCTCCTCGTTCTCGTAGCCAACCATTCCCCACTCGTGCGCCAGCGTGGCCTGGCGGCGCTTCCACGACTCCGCCATCAACGTGCACCACAGCGCAGAGGCGCATGCGTACAGCGGCGTGCCGAGCGCACCAACCGGCGACAGCTCGACGACAGCGGCGATGAGCGCAAGCACCTGCAGGCACGCCGTTGGGACGCGCGTTGGGACGTGCCTCGGGTGGTAGGAGCAGAGGGTCTGGTCTACGGAGCAGCGGCCGCTTGGCTCCAGCGGTGCGTGGCTGATGCGCGGGGCGCAGGAGGAGAAGGGACGCACGCACCGTCAGCGAGTTGGTGTAGTGCTCCATCCAGGCAAAGTACATGGCGATGCTCTCGCCATAGTACTGCCGGACCTCCCCTATCGGCTGCTGCATCAGCCCGAGGTCCGGAAAGAGCCGCCGGTTCGCAAACGGCCACGAGCGCACGGTTAGCCACTCTGCGTTGAGCGAGTTCCTCTCTGCAATGGAGTGCAGACCAAAGTAGCAGATCAGTACGCCGCTGACAACGAGCTCGTCGAGGTCAAGCCCAGCGCCGCCAACCTCGCGCTCCGCCTAACATGGGCGATGACATCAAAATGAGGGGTGTATCGCCTCCAGAGCAGTCCGTTGTGCTCTGCCTCCAGTATAGAGAGGATGAGCCGCTGCCGCTCCAGCGCCGAGAAGGTCCGACCCTCCTTGAGCACAAACTCCCCTGCCCGCGAGCGCGTGAAGGGCTCGTATTGGCGTTGCGAGCCGGCGATGCCCATCTTCATGCCGCTGCGCTCGGCCTCATCCTCGAGGCGCTCCAGCGTGGCCGTCACCTAGGGCCCGCCACGAGACAGGCGTCCGCGGTGCGTGGGAGAATGCACCGCGCGCTTGCAGTGCTGACCTTGAGCATCACCTCGCCGCCGTCTCGTGAGTGCTGCACCCGCACGCGCAGCCCGACCGACTCGAGCAGCGTCTTGAGCTCGCGACGCTTCGCCTCCAGCTCCGTCTCACGCTGAGACTCCCTCTCGGCCTCCTTCCTCAGCAGGCTGCTCTCGCCACCCGACTGGCGCAACCCTGGCTCTCCCCCGGTCGGCTTTGGCATCTTGCCAGTGACCTCTGACTCCTTGGTGGCGCCCTCTGCGCGATGGGCGAGGACGACATCGGCAACGAGACCAAGTTCCGCCTCGGACTGGAAGCGGGCTTCATCGTAACCTGGAGTAGACGTGATCATATTGCATTGCCAACCCCACGGCCGCGCGTGCGTCCGCTTCGGGACGGACGCTGAAGCGGGTAAATCCTCGTGCAAATCGCAAAAGGATTCACTTTAATCGTACACGCGAGAGAGAGACACCTCCCGCCCCCCTTTCTCCCAGTAAGCTAAAACGTACACGGCCCGGTTCCAGGCGTTGAGCAGAGGCCAGAGCGGGGCGCAGTCGAGCGCGCGCGGCGCAGGGGCAGCACACTGGTCAGTGGTCTGCGCGAACGCCCGTCGCCCACCCTCACGCCGCCTTGGCCTTTGCCTTGGCCAGGTCCTTGAGCGTGATGGTGCCGTACTCGTCGCCGGGCGGCTCGTAGGTGCCGAAGAGGTGATCAAGCAGCGTGAGGCGCTTGGAGAAGTTGGAGAGGGGCTTGGTGTGGTGCATGGTGTGGTCGGGCACCTGGGAGCATTGCGGGAGGGAGTGCGCTCGGGTCCTCTCGGGTCGTCTCGGGTCGTCTCGGGTCTCTCGCCTTGAGGTCGAGGTTGAGCACCTCTGGGATGATGCGCAGAGGGTGGCCTGCATGCGGGCGCGGCGAGGTAGGACTGTCCGTCTCTGGCGGCCGGTGGCGGCGGTGGGGCAGGGATGGGGCAGGGGCGGGCGGGCCGTTCACGGTCCACGACATTTGCGTGTGGCCGAGCAGCTCGACGAGGTGGGCCTACTCACGGCTCAAGAGGTGAAGAAAAAAGGCCCACACACCCGACCTGGTCGAGCGGCGCGACGCTGAGCGCCTATGGGGTCGTGCCGCGTGGGTGCGTCGTGGACGAGTCGCGCGATTTGCCACTGCGGTGGCGATTCGGTGCCCACGAGACGAGGAGGGCGATGTCGAAGAGGGTGTAGTTGTAGAGCAGGCCGATGAGCTCGAACCCGATGAGGTACGAGCCTGAGGGCACTTGGGTCGTGTCGTTGTGTGATGACTCGGGGAGTTTTGATGGAGGCAGGAGCCGAAGACGGAGGCGCGCGCTTTGCCTCGGGCAATCTCGGGCAATCTCGGTGAGATCTCGGCGAGATCTCGGCCAGGTCTCTGTGCACGCCCAGGATGGAGATCGCCTCGACGAGGCTGACCTCGTAGGTCTCGTGCGCGACTAGGTGACCGTGCTCTTTGGCCGTGTCGGTGTGGTGCTGCGCGTGCAGCCAGCGGTAGAGCGTGCCTGCGGGACGTGGCCACGGACAAGTCACGGACGTGGCGGTGCCGCGAGGTGCGACAGCAGCAGAGCGCGCGGTTGACGTGGCACACGCGGTGGAAGGTGTAGAAGCCGATGTCGAGCCCGATGTCAAAGACAAAGGTGCGCCAGGTGGCGTGGAGAAGCGACTCGACGGTCGGGTCGTCGATGCGAACCCACGGCCAGATCTTGTAGCCCACCGTTACCCCGATGGACTCTGCAGTGGTGATCTTGAGCTGGTTCAGCACCTGCTTCAGACACACGGGCTTGACGGGCCGCGACTCGTACACGTCCGCCATCGCCTGGATGGACCAGGTCTCAAAGACGCCGATCGGCAAGAGGAGAGGCCAGTAGAGGGCCGGATGGTCGAGCCCCTCCCATGAGGCGAGCTTGACCAACCTCATGACGAGAAACCGGCTCACGATGGCGAGAAACTGCTGCGGCCACATCATACAGATGAAGCGCATCCGCCGCCAGCGGTCGTCCTTCGGCGATGTCATGGCGACCCAGCCGAGGTTGAAGGTGACAAAGCTTAGCCAGCATGCCAGCATCTCAATGGCGTACCGAGAGCTGGACGCCGCGGGCATGCCGTCAGTGACAGTAATATTTGTGCTCCAGGGAGGCACGGCGATCACAGAGCTGGCCATTCGTCACTGACAGCGTGGGTCGATGGTCGCCGTATTTGATGAAATAAAAAGAGAAGTTGCGGCCGAGCCCCCCAGCGACCGACGCTGATCCTGGCCACGGACGCGTCCACGGTGATGGGGACCGAGATGGGGGTGGTGCAGCGCATAGCTGGTCGGGGGGGGGCACTCGACCCCAAGGACTTGGCGTCGATGCGGGCCACGGACCTCGACGAGCTGAACGTGGCGGCACCCGAAAAGATAGGCGGGCCGGTCTGGGTCTATTTCCTCGACGATAAGGGCGGCTTCAGGGCGGACTGGGTACTGGTGTGGGCGACCCCACACCCGGGCTCGGGTCTGACCAGGGCCCACATCCGATATGTGGGTCGAGACACCCGCACAATGAGCCGGGATGGGGGGCGGGCTTCTGTGGCGTGACATGCCGCGGGGAGCAGGACCTGCAACCAGGCCGCTCGGGGAAGGTTGACCGGCTTGTCACCCGAAGCGCCAGCGGCTGGACCACCTGCCTGGACCTTGAGAACGGTGTGATGGCTATCCCGGCGAAGGGGGGGCCCGGAGCGAGGGAGGTGTGCGTCGATGGGAGAGAGGTCGACATCTCGATGCCCCCGGAAGAATGGCGGGATCCCCTCGAGTTTGTGGTGCGGAAGACCGTTCGGGTGGCTCGACAGCTCACGACGATGCAACCCCGTAAGCGACGGGCGGTTGGGGCGCGGTTGCGGAAATGGGCGGGGACGTCGGTCGATGAGATACTCGAGGCGACCATGTCCGTGGCGCGAGAGCGACCCCACGAGCAGGCTCGCGGCGCCGGAGCAGCGATGGGCCGGGAGAGGGTGACGAGGAGAACGACGGAGGCCCCGGCGCCGCGGACGGAAGACGCCGTCTCTACCCTCCTATCGGCGGCGGCGTTTGCGGTGGCGAGACACCTACACGCCAGTGCCGCCATCGTTCCCGCCACCCGCACTGCCACTCCCGCCCCCGCCACTGGAACGGTTGCAGGGTCGTGGGGCCGCCCCAGCGGCTCCGCACCAGGCGTTTGGGCCGCGAGGGCCACCACTGTACCCGCCGCCCCTGCCACCGCCTCCACCCCCGCCGCCGACGGGGCCGCCACCGTATGGACCCGCTCGGAATAACCTGGGGGACCCGGGACCGCCCCGTCGGAGGCTGGTGTACCCGGGAGGAGGAGAGGGGGGAAGGGAATTGCCGCGGTACGAGAGCGGACCCGCCGGCGAACCGGAAAGCCGAGGCCGGAGGGCCCCGGGGGGGGCTTGGGGTCGGTTGTCGGAGGAGGCGAGAGATGAGCTAACGCGGCCTCTGAGAGTGGAGTCGGGACGTACGGGCTCACCGGAGGAAGACCAGTTGCAGGGGCAACCGGACCACCGCGACCTTCGACGGGGAGGGCCACGCCTCCCCGAGCCTGGAGAGGAGCCGGCGGAGGGGGGGGGCGAGCCAGGGACGATAGAGAGGCCGCGAGTGCGGGCACGACTCGCCGACCAGGGAGAGCGGGCTCGACCTCCTGGGGGTGGAACTGGGCGCGACCCAATGCCACCGTTCTCACCCGGGGAGTCGGGCACGGGATCGCCGTCGGCAGGGTCAACGGAATCAGGCAGAGAGGACGAGACGGCGGCGGGGCCACGGCCAAAAAAGGCTAGGAGGGGAGGTCGGGCCCCGCGCCCGCCGTACAACCATCGAGAAGCAAACAGGAGAACGGACCGAACGGGGGGGGGGACCCCACCGGAGCCGGGGCAGGGAGACCGAGCGGAGGGGTTGTGATTGGCGACGCCGTCGCCAAGGGGGAGTGTGTGTCGTCGCGTGTCCTTGTCTGGTGTTTACTAGCTCCGAGTAGAGCTAGAGGGGGCGTCCTGCTGCTAGGGGAAACCTGGAGCGCGGTACTAACCCTCGGAGAACTGTGTTTACTTTAAGGCCCTTGCCCTGCGAACGCGCACCCCCGGGGCTAGGGCTCTCTAGCCCGTAACCCGATACCGATCATCCGGCCCGCTGGATGCGCTTCTCAGCTCACCGGCCCTGGATGTGAGGTTGCCGACTGCACTCCAAGTGCTCCAAGTTGCTGTCGAATTGGGTGTGCGCACTCACTTCGAAACGCACATCCCCGGGCCCCGAAACCGCACAGTGACAGTCAGACATGCAACACGGGGCGTGCGTACTCACCACACGCTCACTCCCCCGCGTCGTACAGCCCTGGGAACTCCTCTCCGTGCACAAACGGCGCCAGCGCGAGGTGCATCGCATGCTCATAGTACGCGGTACGGTCCACCAGGCCGCGCGTGAGCTTGCCGACCGTGCCGCCCTTGCGCTTGCTCCCGCTGTCGCCAAAGACTCTGTCGTCGGCGTCGCCGAGCTCGACGCCGGACTTGACGAGGGCGGCGAGGCGCGGAGGCAGCGCGAAGGACCCGGTGCGCGCCACGCCCCACGCGACGCCCGCCTCGCTCGCCGGCGAGCGCATCACGGCGAGGAAGGCGAAGCACTCGGTGCAGGAGTCGAGGCCGGGCGTGCCTGGGTGGAGGGAGGCGAGGCTGCACTCCGCCACGCCGCCCTCGACTCCGACGGCGAAGTCGGGCATCGCACCTGCGTGGCGCCGGGGAGGTGGTGGCGCCGGGGAGGAGGAGTCGCGGTGCGGCTGCTACAGAGAGAGAGATAGGGAGAGGGGGAGAAGGAGGGAGAGGGAGGGAGAGGGAGAGGGCGGTGGTGGGCGCGAGAGGAGGAGCCGCACCGCCGTGGCCGAGGCAGTGCGCGCCGAGGCAGTTCTCCGCCCGGTTGAGAGCCCCCTGCCGCGTCTCCGCCTCGCCCCACGGCTGGTCGGACACGCCGCTCGGGATGTCGTACGCAACCACCTCGAGCGCTGTCAGCGGGAAGGCGGCGGCAAAGCCGGCGCGCACCGCGTTGACTTTGACAGGGTTCTTGCTCCCGACGGCGACGACGAGCGGAGCCTTCGCCACCTCTGCCGTCGCCACCGCCGACTCCTCCACCGCCGCCGCCGCCGCCTCCGCCGCCGCCGCCGCCGCCGCCTCCGCCGCCGCCGCCGCCTGATCCGACGCCGCCTCCGACGCTGCCGACCCGCCACAAAACTCTCGCTGCTCCGCCGCGTCGGTAAAGCGCTGCAGCTCGACGAGGTACCCGTCCGGGTCGCGCAGCAGAGCGTTGTAGATGCCGAACCGCTCCGTCGCTCGCGGCGGCTGCTCCGCCGAGCACCGCCCGCCCGCCAGCGCCTTTGCGTAGGTGCCGTCGACGTCGTCCGTCAGCAGGCACACCATGGCCGTGTCGCGTCCGGCGGTCACCGCGCTCACGGGTGGACTCGCCGCCGCGCTCGTCCCCTCTGGCACGATCCCGAGCGACGCGGCGCCACCCGGGAGAGCAAAGAAGAGCACGCCACCGTCGCGGCGGAGCGGGAGGCCAAGATCGTGGCTGTAGAAGCGTCGTGCGTCGGCGAGTCGCGAGGAGTAGAGGAAGGTGATGCTGCCGCTCAGCACCATTGTGTATTCTGCTACAGCTGCGCACGAGTGCCGGGGGCGGCTAGACGTGTGTATGACTCGATTGGGCTAAACCTCGCGCGCGCGCGCGCCCCCGCGCGTCGTCGCGGTAAGGCCGTAGGAATCCTAGACCCAGACCTTAGTCGCGGGTGAGTGTGAGAAAAAAGGCAAACGTCATATGATCTGTGATCTGTCGCGCCACCGCGGCTGCGGGGCTGATAGAGCAGGCCGGCTGCGGCTCCTAATGTACCTCCGCTTTTGGGTGGCGGTCGCGCGCTGCCGACGGCGCTCGCCGGCGCTTGCGGCACACACACACACACACACACACACACACACACACACACATACACACACACACACACATGCATGCACAGACACACAGCCCCTTCCCCTCCCCCCTCAAGGGCGAGGACACGCACAGGCCGCACCTCTAGTGAGGCCCGCATAGTATGTGGGAGACTCGTGCCGCCGCCCCTGCCACCCCTGTGTCAGTGTGCCTCTGTGGTAGCGAGAGACTGCCAGCGACAAGCTGGAGGCAGGTCGCTAGACTGAGATGAGACCGCCAGTGGATGTGGGAGTCCACCGCGCACCGCGCTGCGAGCCTGTCGTGTCCCTTGTCAGGAGCAGGAGAGCCCCACCTGTCCCCCTGATCGTCCTTCCAAAATCCTGCTCGTGCAGGTGGGGACCCTGTCCTCGTCCCATCCCTCGTTTGGCGTGTCTGTTTTCTTTCTTTCTTTCTGTCAGGGTCCGCCCGCAGGCGCATTTTGTCTACTCGAGTACCGAGGCGGTGCCCGATGCTGTCGGCGGACCTTAAGACAGCATTGTAGATCCCTGGGCGAGGGTGGTGGAGAGGGCGGTCCGGCGGCGGAGCACGAACCACCTGCACCTCCTCCCGGCGCGCCGGTTGGCAGGATGTCATCGGACATCGCCTTGTTGCCGCTCAGAGCAGCCTCAACGTGGCGGCGTAGGGCGGCGTGCCGTCCTCCCTTGGGTTCTCTGTCTTCTTTCTTTCTTTCTTAGGTTTAGCGGGAGGAGAATCCGAGAGAGAGAATCCGAGGGCGAGGATGGTGAGCCCGAACGGCCCGATCGTTGCGTCACCAGTTCATGTCCTTTTCATGTCTCTTTTCACCGTGGTGGCGGTGGCGGTGGCGGCGACGGCGGCGACACCGGCGGCATATGCAGCGAGTGGAAGGCGAGCGATAGCGCGATTGCGATGAGGAAGGCGATGGCGAAGCACTCGGGTGCCGCTGCGAGCCAGTGACTCACCCGCCCGTCACTGGCGGAGGACGCCGCGCCCTCCTCTGGCTGACCCTCGTCGGTGAACGGGGCAAAGCTGACCGTGCGGCCGCAGCCGCAATCCCGCGCGCCTGGGCTGCTCGAGGGTCGCAGAGCCGACTTTCCTCCCCCTTCTGGCGAGTCGGGCACGCGGCGAGCAGGGGTGACCCAGGTTCCGCTCGTGTCCGGCAGGGCACGGATCTCAGCTAGCCGCGCATCCGTAGCCGTCGCCACGCGCGCCCGACCCATAGCCGGTGACTCCATCACCACCAGTCCCCGCTCCTCCATCGAGAGCCGGGCGAGGTGACCACCCGCGGTGCACTGGCCCATTCTATCGCCGCATTGGCCCGGGAGGCGCGACCTGGAGTGCAGCATCGCCGAGGCTGCCGCATCGAGGTGATCGTCACCCGACGCGTTCACGCTATCGGCGGGTGAACTCATGTCTTCTCCTGGGGCGAGCAGCTGGGGAGGAAGGACCGGCCGGTGAGAGAGAGAGATGGAGAGAGGGTGCCTCGCCCTCGGCGGGCGCTCATAAGAAACTCGACGTTATTGGCGGGTCCTTTCTTAATCCCTGTGGTGGCTCCTTCTTTCTGTTTCTGCGACTTTTTTGTGCAATGCTCCGACTGGCCCGAACCGTCGCCGACAGCTCTCCGACCGCGTTACGGCTCGCGCGTTCCGTCGCTTTGCCTCGTCGCTCTCTCTGCGGCCGGAGCACCGCATTGCACCGTATCTTAAGTTGCCGCCCACCGCCGCAAAGCTTTGCCGCGCTGCTCCTCCTCCACGGCGGCACGCCAGCCTTTGCTGTGCAGAGGCGGGTCGCGGCCCGGCAGGCGGCGATAGTACCCGAAGCCGAATCGGCCTCTCTATCGCTCGATGGTCGGCCGCGCTCAGCACTCGGTGCGTTGCGACTGCTCGCACGCGCCTTTGCGCTGGGCCTGCTGCTGCTGCGACCGCTGCTGCTGCTGCTGCCGGCGCTCCTGCTTCGCGGCAGAGCGTGGCAGTCGCGGTTCGAGCGCGCTCTGGTGCACGCGCTCGAGCGCGGCGGCCCGTGCCTCACGAAGCTCGGCCAGTGGGCCTCCACGCGACCCGACGTGCTGCCCGCCTCGCTCTGCGCGACGCTCGGCGAGCTCCACTCGAGGGCGGGCGCGAGGGTGTGAACGCCTCACGGCTCGAGGCGTGGACAGGCGAGCTGCACTCGAGGGCAGGCGCGAGGGTGTGAACGCCTCACGGCTCGAGGCGTGGACAGGCGAGCTGCACTCGAGAGTCGAGCCGCACGCGCTCGAGCTCTCGCGCGCCGCGATCTCCGCCTCCTTCGGCGCCACCGCGCCCGCCGAGGAGCTGCTGGGAAGCCTCTCTGCTGCGCCCCTCGGCTCGGGCTGCATTGCGCAGGTGCACCGCGCGACAGTGGGCGGCGTGCCCCTCGCCGTCAAGGTGGTGCGCCCACTCACGCGTCGACTCCGAAGAGCGCCTCCTCACGGCCCGCCCCTCTGCCCTCGAGGTGCTCCACCCGCATGTCGAGCGGCAGGCAGCTGCACCACTTGTGGAGCCCTTCTCGGACCCTTCTCGGACCCTTCTCGGACCCTTCTCGGACCCTGCCTCCAGGTCGCTGACGACCTCTACCTGCTTCGCGGCGCGTGCGGCGCCTTCGAGCTCCTCCTCTCCCCTCTGCTGCCTGGCCTGCGCTGGCTCGCCCTTCCCCAGATGGTCGACGAGTTTGCGGCCTTCATGCGGTCCCAGCTCGACCTGCGGCTCGAAGCCCGCAACCTCGACGCCTTCCGCGCGAACTTCGCCGTCGACCCTCGCGTGGAGGTGCCGCGGCCTCTGCGCGAGGAAGGGCTGGTGGCGCGGAGGGTGCTCGTCGAGACGCTGCTGCCCGGGCAGACCCTCTCCTCCCTGCTCGAGGAGGACGCCGCCGCGGCGGAGGGGGAGGCGGCCGCGCTGCTCGCGGCGGACGAGGCGGCGGCCGAGGCGATGCAGGCTGCGGGGATGGGCGCCGCGAGCAGCGCGGACGCGAGCGCTGCCGTCCGCGCGGCGGCGGAGCTCGAGGCGCGCGGCGCGGCGCGGGAGGCGCGGAGAAGCGAGCTGGCGAGGCTCGGGCTGCGCACCTTCCTTACTATGGTGCTTCGGCGCGCGAGCCGCCGCGATGTAGCCGAGAGAGCGCGCGGCGCGCGCGCGCTCCCGGGGTGGCGCCGTCCTCCCTATGGTATCAGGAGTGCTGCCTCCTGCGCGCGCTCCTGAGTGACCGGGGCACCCTGGAGCAGGACCCCGCCGCCCTCCCCGCCACATCGGCTCCGCCCCTCCGCCGCCCTCCCCGCCACATCGGCTCCGCCCCTCCGCCGCTCTGCAGGCACAACTTTGTCCACGCCGACCTCCACCCGGGCAACATCCTCGTCCTGCCGGCCGGCGGCGAGGGCGGCGGAGGAGGCGCGGGGGAGGTCAGGCTCGGCATTATCGACGCGCGCCTGCTCGCAGCCGAGAGCAGGCCGAGATTGCTACCTCTCGGCGCCCACCCGTGGCGAGCCTCTCTCGTGCGCCTCTCTCGCAGGCTGGCTTGGTCGTCGAGCTGACCGAGCGGGACCGGCGCAACTTCCTCAGCCTCTTCAAGGCCATCGGGCAGGGCGACGGTGCGACTCGCCCCCCCTCCCCCTCCCCCCTTCCTCGCCCCGCCTCCCGCGCCTTTGGCCCGCTCCCTCCACTCCGCGTTCTGCCAGACGAGCGCGGGTGTGTCTCGGCTGCATGTCGGCTGCATGTCGGCTGCATCTCGGCTGCATGTCGGCTGCATCTCGGCTAGGCGAGCTCGCGGGCGACCTGATGCTGCGCCACGCGCGCGAGCAGCGCTGCGACGACCCCGCCGCCTTCCGGCGCGGGATGAGGAATCTCGTCGAGAGCGCGCGCGCGGGCGAGCGCGGCGCCTTCAACTTGCGCCACCTCAAGGTGGGCGAGGTTCTGCTCGAGGTGACCAGCCTCGTGCGCACGCACCACGTGCAGCCCGACCCCGTCTTCACGACCCTCGTCTGCGCGATCGTCGTCCTCGAGGGGCTGGGTAGGCAGCTCGACCCCACCCTCGACCTCTTCTCGGTGGGCTTGCCGCTGCTGGTAGGAGCGTGACGGCGGGCGGCGGTGTGCGGCGGGCGGCGGTCGCGGGTCGGCGCGATGCAGTGTGGCTGCAGGCGCACTCTTGCCGACTAAGGGTGCACTTAAATTTGCGTTGGCCGCATTTTTACTTGTAGTTGTACACTCCAGCTTGCCATATCGATGTATGCAGAGTATATCAGGCGCGGGTTCGCCCATTGCCATTCGCCGTGCACACTCGAGACACTGGCCCCCGCCAGCGCCACGCGTGTCTGGTGTCTCGCTGTAAAACGGTAACACAAGAGAAAAACGTTCCTCCCCGCTCCCGCGTTGCGCGTTGCCCGCGCCGTTGGCTTCTTTTTCCTGCCCTAAAGCGGCTCGGTGACTGGCAGATGCTGCTCCGCCGCCTCTCCCGCCTCTGGCCCGATCAAGCGCTCGATGGCGCTGACCCGCTCCTCGAGGCTGCCCGCAGTCGCCGTGCCGAGGCTCGCCTCCAGCCGCTCGACACGCCGCGGCAAATCCCCGCCGCCGCCGGTCGACTCGCTGCTCACCGCCTCCTCGCACCGCGACACCCGACGCGCCAACGCCTCCTCCGCATCCGCCTCTGACCAGCGCAGCGCCTCCGCCAGCTCCGCATCCTCGCGCAGCGCCGCCTGCTCTGCCGCACCCGCTAGCTCTGCCGCCTCCCGCTCCGCCCGCCTCGCCGCCTCCTGCTCAGCAGCCAGCTGCGCCGCCCTCTCCTCCTGTGCGCGAACCTCTGCCGCAGCCTTCGCCCTCCGCTCCTCCTCGAGTGCGAAAGCAGACGGCGCCTTCTTGGCCTTATTGTTCTTCGCCTTGGCCTCCTTCTTGGCCGCCGTTGCCTCCGCCGCCTTTGCGCGCCGCCTCGCCTTCTCCTCCTCCGCCCTCTTGTCCGCAGCCTCCTTCTCGCGCCGCGCCGCCTCTGCCTGAGCGGCTTTGCGCGCCGCCGCGGCCGCCCGCTGCTCCTCTCGCTGCGCCTCCTCAGCCGCAAGCCTCTCCGCCTCCCTCTCCCGCAGCGTCTCCTCTACTGCCGCGCGCTCAGCGGCCAGCTTCGCCTCCGCCTCCGCCGCAATGGCTCGCCTCTGCTCCTCCAGCGCCGCAGCGTCCGCCGCCCGGCGCGCCTCGTCCGCCGCTCGCTCTGCTTCGCGCTGTCGTGCCGCCCGCTCGCGCTCTCGCGCCGCCGCCGCCGCCTCCCGCTCACGCTGCTCGCGCCGCCCCTTGACCTCGAGCGCCTTCTCTGCCGCCTCCGCCTCCCTCAGCGCCGCTGCGTGCTCTGTGAGAGCGCGCACGCACCCGGCGTGGTCCATTTCAGGAGCACTGGCGGCGTCGGCAGTAGCAAGCACCTTGGCCGCCTCCTCCTTGGCGAACTGCAGCGCGGGCCTGCCGTCTGCAGAGCGAGCCTTTGCATCCGCGCCAGCCCGAAGCAGGCGGAGCACGACAGCGGCCGGGGTGGCCTTGGATGGCGGCGGCCATCAGCGCGGTGCGGCCTTTGCTGTTCTGCAGGTTGACGTCAGCGCCGCGCCGAATCAGCAAGTCGACCACCCGCTCGTGGCCTTGGAGGGCGGCGATCACCGCGTCCGGGTGTGGAGATGCGAGGGTCGCCCCCCCTTGCCCCACCACTTTGTGTGTGTGGAGAAATTTACCTTACCTTACCTTATCATCTCGGAGTGGCAGATCCCGGCGGCAAGAGCGCAAGACCTCGAGGGACTGACTCTGCACGCGCGCCCGCGCGCGTGCGGCGCGAGGCCCAGCCCACAGCCACGATCGTTCACAAGAGAACGCACCCCAGAGTACGAGAGACCCTTCCCCATGGCTGCCACTGCGCCAGCTGTCCTTGCGCGCTGGCTAGGCCGCCTCCCGCGCCCTGGCCCTCGCAGCGGCACCTGAAGCGCGCCTAGCCTTGGCTGCGGCGAGCGCCGCCTCTGCCGCCGCCGCTGCTGCCTCGGCCGCCGCTACTGCCGCCTCCTCCGCCTCCTCCTCCGCTGCGGCAGCCTCCTCCTCCTCTGCCGCTGCCACAGCCGCAGCCTCCGCCTCAGCCTGCCGGCGCGCCTCTGCTGCCGCCTGCGCGGCCGCGTCCGCTGCCGCCTCCGCTGCCGCCTCCGCCGTCTCCTCGTCGCCCTCCTCCTCGCCCGCCTCGCCCGCCGCCTCTCCCAGCGCCTCCGCCAGCCCCTCGACCGACGTCTCCGCCGTGATGCTGAACCGCATCCTCTCCTCGGTGAGCGTCTCGAGAAGCAGGAGAAGCCTCGCCTCCTCGGCCTTCTTCGCCGCCTCGGCTGCGTCTGCCTCCGACGGCGCCTCGGCAGCCTCCTCGGGCTCCTGCGACGGCCCCGCCCCGCCCGCCCCGCCGCCCTTCTTCTTCTTCTTCTTGCCCTTCTTGCCCTTGGCGCGCTTCTCCGCCTCGACCTCCGCCAGCAGCTCCTCGGCGTGCCGCGCCGCCTCCTTCTCCTCCGCCGCCCTCTGCGCCGCCCTCTCCGCCGCTCCCGCAGCCCACGCCGCCTCCGCCGCCGCCCTCTCCGCCGCCTTCTTCGCCGCCGCATGCTCCTCGAGGGCGCGCACGCACTCGGCGTGGCCCTTGTCCTTGGCAAGCTGCAGAGCGGTCCAGCCAGCCGTAGTGCGCAGCGTCATGTCTGCGCCCGCCCGCAGCAAGCGGAGAAGGACGGAGGGGTGGCCGTTGAAAGCGGCCTGAATCAGTGCGGTGTCGCCGATGGTGGCCTGAACGTCAATCGCCGCGCCGTGCCGGATCAACGCGTCGACCACTTCCTCGTGGCCACCGCTAGCGGCGCCCATCAGCGGGGTGCCGCCGAGAGGAGCTTGCTCGTTGATCTCCGCGCCGTGCCGCAACGCCAACTCGACCAGCGTCTCGAGGCCATTCACGGCGGCGAGATTCAGCGCGGTGCCGCCGTTGTTGGACTGCAACGAGACATCCGCGCCTCGCTGGAGCAGCGCCTCGGCCAGCCCCTCGTGGCCCTTCACCATTGCGAGAATCAGCAGCGTCACGCCGCTCACAGGGCCGTCCGAAAAGACGTACACGAACGTCGCGTTGACCCGTCCGCCGCCGTCGAGCCACGCCAGCACAACCGCCTCATCGCCTCGCTCAGTCGCTTGCACGACCTCCTTTGGCACCGCCCCGCCGCTGCTCGGCTCGGCCTCCGCGCCTCCCTCGCCGCGCTCGGCCGACGGCGCCTTGCGCCGGTCCGCCGCCACCGCCCCGAGATGCGTCCTGAAGGCCTGGACGCACTCGGCGTGGCCCTCCTCCTTGACAATCTGCAGCGCCGACCTGCCCGCCGCATTGCGCAACGTCATGTCCGCGCCCGCGCGCAGCAGGCGGAGCACGACGGCAGGGTGGCCGAAAAAGCCGGCGCACGTGAGCGCAGTGTGGCCGTCGCTGTCTTGAAGGTTGATCTCCGCCCCGTGTTGAAGTAGCGCGTCGACCACCCGCGCATGGCCGTTGGCGGCGGCCAACATCAGCGCGGTGAAGCCTTCAAGGTTCTGCGGGTTGATCTCTGCGCCGTGCCGCAGCAGCATCTTGGCCACCTGCTCGTCACCGCGGGCGGCGGCGAGCATCAGCGCCGTACAGTCTTTGCTGTCTCGCGCGTCCACCTCCGCGCCGCGCTTCAGCAGCAGTTCGACCAGCTGCTTGTCGCTGGCGGCGGCGATCAGTAGGAGCGTACAGCCACTCACGCCGCGATTCACGCACGTCGCGTCAACCCGCTGAGCCACGTCTGCACCACGTCGACCTTACCGTTCTCCACCGCCGCTTCGATTCTTTTCGGCAGCGCGAGCGGCGCAGCAGTAGCCGCCGCTGAAGCGTGCCCGCGCCGGGAGGCGGCTGAGCCAGCCTTCGTCCGTCCGGGCATACAGTGGTGGCTGCTGCGACGCTTCGGAAAAAAGAATTTTTGCGGGCCTATCCCTCGGAGACCCGTGTTAGTGGGACAGCCGCGAGGTGGCATGAAGGTTGCAGCGAGAAGCGGCGAGAGACTGCGAAAAGAGATACGAGGAGGCAGACCCCCCAGGGTGGGCGACGGCTAGCGCATCACACCCTCCTCTCCTTAAAATCCCTGTGTGGTGGCGGCGTGCCGTTCTCCCATCCCTCCCTTGGGTTGTGTGTTTTCTTTCTTTCTTTCTTTCCGTGTTATGGCCCTGCGACCGCGTCAGGGCTCGAACACCACGCGGTCCACATCAGAGCGCAGATGGCGTGGCCACACCCCTGCTGGGGCTCCGCTGCCCTTGCCTGGCCTTGAAATTTCAAAGAATGGCAGCTTCTGCCTTCCTCGACATCGCGTCCAAACGCAATGCAATCCACGATCGCAGGCTGCTCCAAACCACTTGCTTCTCTGGTTCGGGCAAGTCAGCCGCCCGCGCCATTGTCTCCACTGTGTCCGTGAACCCTGGCAGCTAGTGTGACCGCAGCAAAAGTTGATTGCATGCAAGCAGATGCATCTCCATCGCTTCGGTGAAGGGGGTGAACCGTGCCACCCTCGATCGCCGTGCAAAGCTCGCTTCCGAGCTTTACAACTTGCGAAAGGGCTCGTCGCGATGGACCAACCCTTCGTACGGCTGCCGTGTGTGAGCAGATGCGCTCGGACGGAGTGGCATCTAGCGGCGCCCCTGGGCGCGCTGCGCGCGCCTGTGGTTTGGGAGGGGCTACCAGCACCGGAAAATGGCCTACGATTATCAAATACTTAAGGTCCGAGCTCCGACCTGTGGGCACTGCCTGCGCTCGGCACCGGCCACCGCCTCAAATACAAAATCTGCCTGCGGGCCGAACCTCCACAGCTCACACGTCACAGCTCAGACACAGTGACAGCACACCATGCGCGATGCGCGGGGAATGCGAACGCGCGACCCTAAAGCCGTATCAGAGCTATCATCTCTCGCCGCACCGTCTCTCGGTCTCGCGCTTGCTCTCTCCGCACTGCGGCTCCCGCGCACACGCCACAGCTCACGCTCTCCAGTGAGCTCGCCTCGCCGCTGGTATTAGGGGCCGCGCTGCCGGCGCCGAGCGTCACCTGCCTAGCCACGTCTCTTCCTCTAACGAGAGGAGACGCTCGGCGTCCGGGTAGCCGTCGTACTCGACCGCATCCACACGAACCTTCCTCTGCGAACCCAGGATCTCGACGTGCTGCCGAAGAAGATCCAAGCCGCGGCGGAGGACGGCAAGGCAAAAACGGGGTGATTTCGGTCATCCGTCAAAATATCTGAAGATCTGTCCGGGGGATTCTCCCCAAACCTTGCTCAGCTGATCCAGCCTGGGTCGTAGGCCAGCCCTGGCCAAAGAAACCAGCACCTCAACCGGCTTCCCTGAGCGTCACAGCTCGGTGATCGCGCCGGCCGGACACCACTGTAACGTCCGTTCCGGGCATTTGAACGCGACCTTCGGGGGGAAAGACATGGGCTCTATGGCTCAGACTGGACTCCTTTTGGTCCCTTCTGATGCCCTAGGCCATACCTGGGCCTTACTTGGAGCTCTAGGGGGTGGGCAGGGTTTGCCCCCCCCCAACTGGCCCGAGGCACCTTAAAACCATCTAGGTCGTGGAGTCGACATCACCTGCGTCACACCGCTCTACGGTGTACGGACTACGCCTACATCCGGCTGCGACCCTCTCATCTCCAGGGCGCTCCCTCCAACGACCGTTACAGAAGAGATGCCCACGTACATGAACCCCGAACGAAAATTCGAAAGAAACAAAGGCCACACCGTACCCGTGCCCCCCCCCCCCCCTCCCACCCCACCCGCACCCTCTCCCACCCCACATTCGCGCCTCACACGGCGAGGTCCTCCGCGCCCGGCCGCTCCCACGACGTCTCACCCCCGTCGTTGTAGTAGTAGGTGCGGCCGTCCCCCGTCTTGGTGGCGTGCCACCCCTTCTTGAGCGGCGTGCCCTCGCCGCCCGCCGCCGCGCGCGGAGGTGCGCGGGCCGGCTCGGCGAGGATGGGCACCTGCAGCGACTCCGACGGCTTCCTGCCCGGCGGGGCGGGCTTCGCGTAGACGCGCGTCCGGGGCGTCAGGGCGACGTCGGCGTCGGCGACGAACTTGGTCGCCGGTCGCGGCGGCGCCTCGCTCGCCACAACCGTGTGCGCGTACTTGCCGCGCCCCTTGCCGCCGCCTCCGCCCTGCTCGCCCGCAAGCCTCTTGTTCGCCGCCAGTATCACCTTGTCCGCCGCCGAGTCCGCCATAAGCCGAGTTGTGAGCGACGCCGCAAGCCTCTTGTCTGCGGCCGCCTGCTCCGCGCTGCCGCCGCCCTCGGCAAAGACGCGCGACCGCGGCATAACCCCCGCGCCTCCGCCCCCCGCGGCAGGCGACCTCTGGATCGGCTGGAGGTTATACTTCTCCTCCTGCGCCGCCTCGGCGGCCCGCTCGACATGCCGCTCGAGCACCTCCGTCACGTCCTCGTGCGCCGCGCCAAAGTCAGCCGCCGTGTCGCCCTCCTCGTTCTCCTCGGCCGGATCCACGCCCGCCGCCAGCAGCACCTCGACGGCGGGCGCGTGGTCTCCTGTTCACAGCTACAGCCGTGAACGGCCTCTCTCCTCAGCAGCCTGGCGGCTGGCGTGTGCCCCCGCCCTCCGCCGCCGCCATCAGCGGCGTGTTGCCGTCCTCGTCCGCCTTGTGCGGGTCCGCGTCGGCGGAGAGCAGCGCCTCGAGCACAGCGACGTGCCTGCGCACAACCACCCGCTGGTCAGGCACGGGGAGCGAGCCGAGACCCCCCTCCGCCGACCCTCTCTCACCCGCCGCGAGCCGCGAAAGCGATTGCGGTGCGGCCATCGACCGTGGTGGCGTTGGGCTCGGCGCGGGCGTCGAGCAGCAGCTTGGTCACCTCGAGGTGGCCTGCGCGGGCGGCGAGAGGCAGAGCTGGTGTCGCCGCCCTGTGCGTGTGCGACGGGCGGCGGAGAGGGCCGGAGCAGGCGCGCCGGCGAGGGAGCAAAAGTGGAGCGCCACGCCGCCTTCCCCGTCGGCTATGTCGACCTCGGCGCCGGCCTCGAGCAAGTCGCGCACGACGCCGATGTGCCCGCCGAGCGCCGCGCCCATCAGCGGAGTCGTGCCCTCGTCGTCGACGCCTGGGAGAAGTGTGGAGAGGTGTGTGAGGCAGGTGTCGCGCCGCACACCCCCACATACACCCCACACAACAAGCCAAGGCACACCGTTCGGGTCTGCGCCGCACTCGAGGAGCGCGCACACGGCGGCCCCCTCCCCCTCCTCCGCCGCTGCAACCAGCTCCGAAGCGGTGTCGTCGGCGCTCAGCGAGGAGACGCCGGACCCGCGGGCCGCCGACCAGCGCGGGGTGGCCCCTGTTGAGTCCGGGTAGAGGTCACAGGGTCAGGGTCAGGGTCAGGGTCGGGGTCGGGGTCAGGGTCAGGGTCAGGGGTGGTCGGTCACCTCCGAGCGACGCAGCAGAGGGCGCACCCACCACGCCGAGCTTCAGGGGAGGTATCGACATCCCCGTCGTCCCGCCCGCCCCGCAGGAGCGCGGGGCGGCCGCGCCCGCCTCCGGCGACTCCTTGGTTTTCGCCGCCGAATAGCCTTTCTCCAGGTAGCTCCGCTGCTGCTTCCACGGCGTCGCCGCACAACCAACCCCGCCCCCTCCGCCCGCCCCCTCCCCGCCCTCCTCCTCGCCGGCGCTCTCCTCGCTGCTGCTCGCGCTCACAACCACCCCCGCCGCCTCCTCCGCCTTCGCCTGCGCCAGCTCGCCGCGGTACACCTGCTGGACTTGCGTCGCCGCAATCTCTATCTCCAGCACCAGCTTTCGCTGCGCCTCCGCCGCCTCCGCCGCCCCAGCTCGCGACGAGTTCCCGCGGTGCAGCGCCTAGTCTCGGGGTCATCTCGGGGTCATCTCGGGGTCATCTCGGGGTCATCTCACGGCGGGACCCCCGCGGTGCAGCGCCCAGCGCCTGCAGCTTCACCGCGCACTCGGCGCGCCGCTTCTCCAGCGCCTCCGCCTCCGCCTCCGCGCGAACCACGTGGCCGCGGTACATGGCCTGCACGCGCACCGCCGCCTCCGCCTCTCGCTTCCTATGCGCCGCCTCCCCACGCGCAAGGAGCCCGCCGCCCTTCTTATGCTCCGCCGCCCGCCGCGCCGCCGCCGCCGCTTGCTCGATCCTCGCCGCCGCCGCCCTCGCCTCCGACGCCGCCGCCAGGAGCTTCGCCTTCTCCGCACCGACGTCCGCCTGCGGGCGCGCCGGGCCGGGAGACGCTGGGCTAGCGGCGAGGAGATCCCCCCTCCCTTGCTGCGGACGCGACCGACCATCCTTCTCCCCCCGGTCCCTGCCTCCTCCCCCGGTCCCTCCTCCCCCCGGCCCCTCCTCCCCCCCGGGGCTCCGCACACCCCCGACGCGGCCACCACGAATTCCGCTCTCGCGTCGAGCACCTCCTGCTCCTGGTCGAGCAGCTCCTGCTCTTGGTCGGTGTCGTCCTGCTCAGAGAGAGAGAGACAGCGGTGAAGTGGCGCTCTTCCTCCTCCCGCTCCTCTCCGCGGTGTCCTCCGCCTCCGTCGAATACAGCGACATCTCCATGTCCGACGACGCGGCCCCGTCGCCGTACTCACCGCCGTCGACGTCCGACTCGGGGCCTGGCGCCACACCCACCACCGTCGCGGCGGCGGCCAGAAGCGCCCCCTCCTTCGCCTCCTCCGCCGCCACCTCCTCGGCCCGCTGCTTCGCAGCGGCAGCCTTCTCCGCCGCCGCCGCCGCCGCCGCTCCGTTAGCCGCGGGGGCGCGCTCCTTCTTGAGAGCTGCGCGCCTCGCCTGGGAGTCGCGCCTCGCCTGACCACATGGCAATGCGCTGAGCAGCGCCGATCTGCACAACTCGTCGCCCTCGCGCGGGACGCCGCGCCCTCTCCCACGCGTCTTCGGCGTATGCCTTTGCCTTCTCCCGCGTGGCCGCTCCTCGCGGAGTCAGACACGGCTCCCAAGGCTTCTGCTGAGCAGCCTCCGCCGCGACAGCCTTCTCCGCCTCCGCCTCCGCCTCCGCCTCTCGCATCGCCTACTCTCACGACAGAGACGTACTTGCTTCAAGTGGCACTCTCGACATCCCCCTCCCGCTCCTCCCTCGCTGTCCGGCGCCGCCTTATTGACAATGTCCGCTGCCGCGACCTCCGCAGCTTCTGCTGCTGCCGCCGCTCCCTCCACCTCCGCCACCCTCGCCGCCTCCTCAGCCACCGCCGCCGCCGCCCCCGCTTTCTCTCCCGCCGCCTTGGCTGCAGCCGCCGCCGCCTCGTCCTCGTCGTCCTCCTCCTCCCCGGACGGCACGTCCTCCTCCTCGGAAGGCGCGCCATCGCCGTCGTCCTCGCGGAAGGACGAGACGCGAGAGGCGCGCCTGAGTGAGGAGCCGGCGGCAGAACTCATCTCGACGCCCGCCGCCCCTGCCGCGAGGCAGAGCTGTTGGGCGGGTTTAGAAGGGGGGGAAGAGGCAGAGCTGTTGGGCGGGGTTAGAAGGGGGGGAAGAGGCAGAGCTGTTGGGCGGGTTTAGAAGGGGGGGAAGAGGCAGAGCTTTGGGCGGGGTAGAAGGGGGGAAGA